ATTTTTCACTCATGAAAATATTTTTTACAGAATTTATAAATTATTTTTAAGATTCAATCTTCCAGACAACTAACATTTCAGTCGTCCAGACGACTGAAAAGTAACTCAGCCCAACTCAGACAACTTACTAGGGTTATATTCGTAAAAATGTCTTCTGTTTTTTTGTTTGGTCACAGAGGACTATATTGTAATTTCATAGTCCTTTTAGGTTAGATTTGCATTTGATTCAAGTTGGGGTCTAGTATTGGGGTTAAAACCAAGTTGTGGGTTAGTTTTGGCAAAAACCCTCTAATTTTTGTTTCAATCTAATGTATGTTTTAATTCTTCATACTCTCACAACACTTAAATTGCTGATTCTCGGTTCAACCACAAACTGACTCGTATGCAAAACTCAATGAGAATACCCTAGTAAAAGGTTAAATATACATCAAATTTCACATACAAATCTATCATATAATACAAATCGAATAATTTGATATATTTTGTTACAACAAAAAAAAATCCGTGCTTCTCAAATGCGGGTCAAAATCTAATACAAATTTAAAGTTACATTCTTTTCAAATGTTTCTCAATTAATATATAGAAGATACCATATTGAGATATGGAAAACTGATAATCTTATTAACAAGAGAGCCTTACAATATATAGCTTAGAGACTAGACATAGACAGAAGAAGGAAATAATATATACAATAGTTACTGTGAGACGTTGAAACATAATCACTGTTATTAACTAGAACGCTGGATCACGCTCGGAGAGTCTAGGAATGTTAACTGGATCGTAAAGAGCCTTCTTAATGTCTTGAAGCATCTCCGTGTCCGAATCATAACGGTTCTTCTTGTTAAAAAACATCTCAAAAACTTTGCAAACGGACATGTGTATATCTTTACACGGTTTAGGTAAATCACTGTGTTCATCCATTAGGACATGCTCCACAAATGCTCTTCTCTTCAATTCAATGATCTTTTCAATATACGCAATCGAGTCCTCAATCTGAAAACTACAATGACTCCTCATGTTGAGCAGCACGGAGTTGATCTTGCCTTGTTCTCGCTCTTTCTGAAAATCTCAGTATAAATTTCAGTATCATAAGTTTAGCCGTCTAGTACAAGAGATCTCATTACAATAACAAAGAAAAAAAACAAGAGCTTCATAGATACGATCAGTTTTGTTCAGTTTATATACACCAAAATATAGATTTATATAATCTCTTCGTTTTTAGATTACCAAAGACGTTTGGGTCAAACTTGTAAACCTCGAACAGCCAAAACCACAAAATATATTACATCCGTTTCATAAAAAAGCATATTTTAGAGAAAAAAAATTGTTTCAGAAAGATACATTTTAATATTTTCAATTGGCGTTTGTATTAACTAACAAGGATTAATTGTAAGCTTCAAATAGTCAATTAAAAAATTATATATTTAATATTTAAATAAATATGTGTGTGAAAAATCTAAAACATGTATCCTTTTGAAATTTTGATTAGAAGGAGTACTATTAGCTTTGTCCCATAGGTTACTAGATAATGTGATTTCTAGACTTCTTCTTGAATAGTTTTCTATTTGAGTTAACAACTTTTGGTAGAATAAAAAAAATTGGATATGAGAGAGTTAAATCACCTGGTAACTCTGTAGATCATTAAGGAGTCGGGTAATGGTCATGAGCAATGTTGTTATGCTATCGTAATTTCCGGCTTCGAGTTTGTGTTGGGGGAAAAAAGATTTCATGAGACATGAAATGGGAAGAACAATAGTGTGTGCTGCAGTTGAGATTATTCCGTTTCGAAGATATTCTTCCATCGACGGTATATGTCCCTTCTTACTCCATTTGGCTTCACATAGCCACGACTCAAATGTTTCTCCCCACTGCATTAACAGTCATTGTTCATATCACTTATAATTTAAATCCTAAAATAGGAAACACATCTGTGATTGAGAGAGACTAAAGACCACCCGCAATATAAATTTACACATGCAAGTTGATCAGTTCATCATAATATCATAAAATTTCAAGAACTAGCCATGCAAATTAAATTCCCATTATAATTCTTAGAATGTAAAGTGGTGAAAAATTAAACTAAAATTTAGCTGAAAATAGGAAAAAACATAAGCTAAATATAAGAGGAACAGCATTATTTTCCGTTAAAAATATTATCTCAATTATAGTTAATTTTAATCTTTATTTCTTTTATTCCTCTCGGTGGAACATTATAACCCTTATTTAATTATTTGAAGGTTATCACAATAAATAAATTAAATATGGACATACAATGAAAATGTTATACACATGTAGTCTACTAAACTATCCATCTACGTACTGACTAAATCTGTTTTTTTTTGTTTGTATCGAACGGAGTAATATGAGATTATTGAAAGGTAGGAGGAAAACAAAGCAAATAAAATCAATATTTTAATATTTTATTCTTGTTTTTTCCAAAAACATTCAATTCATTACTAGTTTGAGCAAGAAACCGACATATTCCTGATATACGTTATTTTTAAAGTCATTCTCACAAAGAAACCATATTGTCAAATGAAGATTAATATCGGGATTCACTAAAGACGTACGATGTTGCGAAAATGGTTTGTCATGTCGGTCCCGTGTTGCTTACGGTAAGTCTCATCAATCTCTTTTAGAAGATTATCAAGTGCTTTGAAAATGATCTTGCCGTAACCTTTCAGGTCTTTTCCTTCCCATCTATCAGATATGCGTCAAATTCAATAAGAAAAATCAACATAATATTTAATTAGAAACTAAAATGGTTTGCCAGATAAATTAGTTTATTATGATATTGTTTCTGACATGGTCTGTATATTTTTAACTCATGTACCTTAGAACAGCTTTGGTAAGAGCTTCTAACTCATCAGGAGAACCTTCTTCATCGAAGAAATCATCAGCAACTGTGATAAGAATGCCACTTTTTGCCATAAGCTTACGAACATTAGCTGTAGATTCAAAGGGCAACGAGGTACTTGATGAAGCTGCAAAGTAACAATATGTTGTCTTCTCTCTTCCAAATCCGATATCGTTTAGTCCCCATTTCTTCACCCACCTGATTCAAATTAAGAGATCGACTTTTAGTTCTGAAGATTTATTAGAAGTAAAAACGAACCAAGACAGTCTGAGAAAATTAATAGGATTTTATATCAAAACATGTCTTAATGCTCACTTTATCAAGTCCTCCATCTCACGTCTGTATACTGCTTGTCGAAGTTCAAAATTTTTTGAAGCAAGATGAGTAAGCTGGTCGACACATATACTGTGAAATATGGTTCCAGTAATAAATAATACATAGTCAGCTATGCTATTATAAACATATAATTATGATATTCGATTGCAACTATGTAATTAATACCGAATAGAAGAGGCTTTTCCAATTGAGATAACATTTGAGTCTTTGTCCTCAATCCACATCCTATTATCAAGATGATTAAGTCTAGCTATCCATGGAGTACTCATTTCATGTTTAATGTGAGAACTATGAACCATTTGTTTATTAACAAATTCACTTTTCTCGAGTAAATTCCGCGAAAATTCTCTCGCTTTTTCGAGCTCAGACTCTCCCGGAAACATGAGATCAGTTGCTCTGTAAACATTAAGCATCACTAAGAATAAACATTCGATGTTTATCCTTAGATGATTTTGGATTTCGTTGTCATTCAAGAACCAGCAAAAGCTCCCTGCATGAAATTTGTAGGAAAAGAATATATTGAATATATATATATATATACTACTTATGTGTATAGACTGGGAATAAGTTCTTTACCAGGTGAAACATCGTAGCCGTTCATTCTTAAAATTCGAAATTCTAGAGAAGCTTTGTACAGTTGATCTACTTTGAAACATATGGGCATTCTTTCGACATCCGTGATTTCATAGCTTCTAAAAGGGAAAAAGAGAGTGAATTAAAATTATTATATAAACATATAGTTGACTATTAAGAACGAAAGTTCATGGGAGTGTTTTATATTATTCCTTACTTGTAAGTTTGAAGAAGAAAATGATCAATCTCTTTACCGAAGTACTCTCCTAACCCGAAGTTATTCATTATATTAACCAAAGAGAGCTTGATAAGTTCTTCACTTAAGGGGTAGATTTGTGGCACTGTAGTTAATTAAATAAGCCTCAGCAAAATGTACAAACTGATAAGAAATAGTTTAGAAAAAATGAAAAATTAACCTCCATGAGGGCATCGTTGTACTAAAGATTGCAGATAAGCCAGAGATTTTGTATTCCGTGAGAGCATAAACGCTGCTGCGGTTGCTGAAGGTGATTGAAACAAAGAGCCATCTAAATCGTCCATATTCTCAATTATGTCTTCTTGAATTTCAGCGTATAATGTCAATGGCAATACTTCGAGATATGCAAGTAAAGGCTGCCGGTTGCAACGGCCATCTACGAGCAATTCCCTAAAGAATAGATTGATTTGGCAAGTGTCAGGAACCCGACGTTAGGAATGAAAATCTAATAATACATAGAAGACCTTGGTCGGTCTGCTCATTAGAAGTCTACGACTCTTCACCTTTACAATTCTATCATCTTTTTTAAGGTATGACCAAATTCAAATAAGTCTGCAGATATTTACTTGTATGTAAAGATGCAAAAAAAAAAAAAAAACATATATATATATATATATGAGTGTGTGTGTGTCGAGATGGCTCATATATGAAGATTAACATTTTAAGTTTTGATAATCATTCTAACAACATACCGGTGAAGAATCTCTTGGCGTTGGAAGAACAAGTCGTTGATCATTTGCTTAACTCCAGGAGAGAAGAAAAAGTGTAGGCCAAGTTGTTGAGTAAGCTCGAGGAGTCCAGTGAACATAAGGACGAGCCAACGAGGACAACAGCCCTTCTTTCTATATTCTCCAATAATCCTCTCTAAGTTTTTTTCGATGTATCTCTTTCCTAATAATGGAAGTTACTATTATCAAATTGTGAAAAAGGGAAAACTAATATATGTGGATCTGAGGATGTGATAATAAAAATTAACTTGTAATAAATATCCATTAATATTTTTTGATTGACTGTGGAAGTTTCAATCCTTAGGACCATATTCCCATCAACTTTTGAAAATTTCGATTTTAAGAATAGTAATTTTGTACCAACGGTGCTTCACGGAATACAAAGGGACAAATCCCTAAACATAAAAGCTTTTAACACTAAAAATACAAAGGAACATAACATACGTGTACATATAATATTATTCATTACTGGCCATAATAATAAAATTAATCAGTAACATATATGGTTAAAAGAGAATTATATTGTATTATTGTATATCATAATTTTCTCACGTACAGAAACATAAACCTTTAAATTCACCTCCAATCTAATATCCAATCATAATACTACATAGATTAATAAATAAAAATATTAAATATTTTTTCAAAAATTAAAAGAGCTAAAAATAATAATAATACTAATTTAAACAATGCTAACACCGCCATCTAAACCTAAATTCAAACCGTAATCATAAACCAAAACTCTATACCTTAAACTCAAACCACATACACTAAAATCCAAACTTAGACCCTAAACTTGAACTCTATATCCTAAATCTAAATTATATATCCTAAAATCTAAACCCTAGACCCTAAACCCAAATTCTATAACCTAACCCCAAATTCTATAACCTAACCCCAAATCCTAGAACCCAAACTCTAAACCCTAAACCCTAAACCCTAGACCTTAAATCCTAAACCTAAACTTTAGACTCTAAACTCTAAACTCTTAAACCCTAAATCCTTTATCCTAAACCCAAATTTTAAACCCTGAATTCAAACCTAACCTTAAACCCAAACTCTAGACTCTAAATCATAAACTCAAACCGTAAATTCTAAATCCTAAATCTAAATTGTAAATCCTAATCCAAATCCTATACCTTAAATGTTTGGATTAATGTTGATATTGTTTCTTTAAAGTTTAAGGTTAGGATTTAAAGTTTTAATTTAGAATTTATGATTTGGTTTTATGCTTTAGGGTCTAAAATTTTGATTTAGGATCTAGGATTTGAATTTAGGATCTAAAAATTGGGTTTAGGGTCTAGTATTTAAGATTTAAAGTTTAGGTTCTAGGGTTTGGGTTTAGAGTCTAGAGTTTAGGTTTTAGGATATAGGGTTTAGATTTAAGGTATATGGTTCGGGTTTGTGGTCTAAGGTTAGGTTTTATTGTATAGGATTTGGGTTTAGGGTATAAAATTGGTTTGGGGTTACAGTTTGGATTTAGGATTTAACTGGCGACATTAACATCGTTTGGATTTAGAGTTATGGTTTGGATTTAGGATTTAACGGACAGCGTTATCATCGTTAAAATTAACGTTATTTTTTAATTATTTTGATTTTTAAAAAATATTTAATATTGTTTATTTATTAATTTATGTAGCATTAAGATTGGTTTTTAAAGGTGAAGTGAATTTAAAGATTCCTATGGAATAAACCTAAATTTTGTTGTTTTTTCACGCCTTTTACACCACAAAGGAAGTTTGCATGTAGTTAGCAATTGAGGGCATGAAAAAGGCAATATTACATGTATATGCGTGTGTGCAATATATATATAAGTTTTCACTCAACACGTGGAAAACAAATGGGATTGTTAAGCCAATCCGATAAAAAGACAAGGTCATTTACCTCTGTGGATGTGAAGACTTCCAATGTTCCATTTGCGAAGTGCTAGAACACAAGCAAATGTCGAAGTGAGAGTTTCACCTTCGTTTTCATCTCCGTGATTACCCCAAAATCCTTCATCAACGTTCTGATTGCTCAGAATCCAATCTATACAGCCACGAAACATCGGTTGCTGAGTACTTACATCACTGAGATCTTCGATCATTGCTAGCCAAGCTGTGTCGTAAGCTGAGGCAGAGACAAATGAGTAAGGATTAATTATACTTAATGTATCCAATTCAAAAGTTTCTTTCTTGATCTCCTCCACTAGAACGTAGAGATCCGAAGAAGAATAAGTCTCGAACTTCATTGTATATTTTTATTTCTTGCTTTCTTAAAATGTTTTAGCTTATGTTTTTTTTTTATCAGAAGCGTAGTATGTTACTGTTGGTGAATGTGTGTATTTATATAGACAATAGAGTCTAGATGGGTATCCAATCTAATTAATCATGTGAAAAATGCAGAAACTAGAAAGCTTCAAGAAAACCAAAAATATTGACAAAAACGTTTTCGTCTCTTTTGGGAGAATAGTCTCCTCCTCATGTTTATGTCATGTCTTATTACAACAGTTAGTTATCAATCCTAATTTTACTTGAATTTTTTTAGATAATTATTCTATAATATATAAATAATATCAAACTCTAATTAATTTGAAATATTTTTTTAAAAGGTGCATACATGTATATTTATTATCTAAATTTAAATTGGATGATATCATATTAATGAAGAAGTTAGACATGTATTTTTTAAGGGAAAATTGTCATTTAAATCATCAACTTTCAAATTTGGTTGAAATAAAGCACCAACTTTCTCATTGCCAAAAAACACTCAACTTTTGTTGACAAGCCATTTTAATCACAAACTTTCATCGTCCATACCAATTTAATCATATCGTTAGTCAACAGTTATAGTTGACTAACAGTAGGCCTAAAATGGCTTTCAACGATGATGTTTTTTTGGCACAAATATAAATAAATATTTTTTACAATATTGGATATATTTTAAATATTGAAAATATTTTAATAACTGAAGTAAAAATAAATAAAATTATAAATGAAAAAATCCAATAAAAACTATAAATAAAACTCAATGTAAAATAATTAGTTAACATACATTAATTGAGTATCTTAGTTATAAAATGATAAGAATATTTTAATTATTTCCGATTAATTTTTGTAAATATTTGTATAATCCTATTTGAATTATGTTTTCTAATTTTATTTTCAAAAGGTTGTTGATAAAATATTAATTCAACTCTTGATTCTTAAATGAAAATAGTTATTGGTTAACAAATTATTCAAGATTCTTTATATTTATGATAAAGATCTTCAAACAAATCTATATAATTTCTATAAAATTTTTACAAGAAGTTTTCTGCATTTAAAGAAAAATAAGTTTCACCAAAATCGATAACTCTTTTTGTTATCCGATAACTCATTTTGTTTAAAAAATCAAGAATTGAAGTAATATGTCACTGACAAATTTTTATAAAACATAATCTGAGTAGGATTATATAAATATTTTTTTTTTTTAAAATCGTGAATAATTAAAAAAAATTTCATAATCATTTTTTAACTAAAATACTCAATCAAGGATATGTTAGTTAGTTATTTTACATTGAGTTATGTTTCTATTTTTGGTTGGAATTTATTTTTTTACTTACAATTTTATTTATTAGTGTTATAGTTATTAAGAGTTTTAATATTTAAAATCCAATATTTTGAAAAAATGTTGATTTATATTTGTTCCAAAAAAACATCAACTCTAAAAGCCGTTTTAGGCATACCGTTAATCAACTATAACCGTTGATTAACGATATGACTAAATTGGTATGATCGACTAAAGTTTGTGATTAAAATGGCTTGTAACCAAAAGTTGAATGTTTTTTTGGTTTATGAAAAAGTTGGTGCTTTGTTTCACTCTAATTTAAAAATTGGGGATTTAAATGATAATTTTCCCTTTTTTTTTAACAAAGTGACATACATAATATGTATGACACATCTTTTTTTTTTTTTTTTTTGAAAAAAATATGTATCACACATCTTGTACCGCCATATTAACCAACTGATTTTATTTCTCACCAACTGTTGGCACACCATTAAAAATTATTTCAAACACAAAGCACCAGCATTTAATCGTAAGATCACCTTGAGAGCTTTGCTCTCATATAGAGCATATACCCCGCACCCAGTTTTCCAAGTCTATCTATTTCTAACCCGGCCGGACTCTGACATAACTTTTAGGGTTTTAAAACCAGTGTCTAACTCTCACAATTAATACTCCTTCTGTTTTGTAAAGAGTTCAATTTTAACACACTTCATGTGGATTAGGAAAATTATAAAATATACTAATACATTCTTATTTAATATACAATTAATTAATTAAAAATAAATTAAATAAAAATATATTAGTTATTTAAAAGGACAAAGAAAAATTTAATAAATTTAATATGTAAATTAAAATTATTTTAATATGTAAGTTATATTAGAAATATAAAATGATATTTTTTGAAACAAAAAACATCTAAATTGACACTTTTTGCGAAACATAACAGTTATATTATTGTTCACTTTAATACAAATGGCAAATGCCACATAGATTAGTTTTTAGACTGTTTTCAATTTTTTTTATCTTAATTAGCGTCGAACACGATAAATATACTATATACTATTTTCTAAATTTATGATATGAAACTTGGATTGGCATTCCAAATTGTTTTCCTATTCCAATAATTTTTTTCTTATGATCAAGAATCATACAAACATTTTGTCTCTCGCCTTAGAGAGTCATGACACCCATCTTATATCGTTGTACCCTATTGTAACTCTTCACTTAACCATTGGCGTTTGTAGAAACTTTTCGACACATGACATCTACACCATCAACCAAAAAGTCACTTTGAAGGATTTCTTCCCACAAGGAACAAGCAAAACACACATACACACTTCTACATGTATACATTATTTTGAACTTGGACTATAATACCAAAATCGGAGTTTTGCATTTCTATTTTTCTGAAAATGCTCTGATACCACTTATTTTGCTAGGTAATCTCACGACTAAGGATAGTACTATTAGATATGCATCCACACATGGTACCACTTTAAGTAGAGGACAAAATCCACATGACTTGTTTTCAAAATTTCAGTAGACAATATCATACTAAAAAGAAGAGTTAGACATACTTTTGAAAACCCAACATAGAGTATCTGAACCTAGGCTCCAAAATCGTAAACCTTCAAAATAACATGTGTGGATGCATATATGTTGTGAGAGAAAAAACTTATAAGGTAATCTCACAATTAAGGGTACCCACTCCTTATTTCAGAAATCATTATAACAATGTCTTAATGGTTAAGTGAAAATTTTCTTTGGTGATATGATACACTATAATTGTTTCTTTACTACAAGCTAACAATGTAGATGTAGTATCTGAGATTCAGTTCTAGAAGACCAGTTAACACTTTATTTTTGTGGGATCAATATCAAGCTAAACCAATATGGGGGGGGGGGGGGTTTAAAGGTTCAGAAATCATAAAAAGCAAGTAACATTGTGTCAAAAGCACCACATATCAATTCCCCATACTTAGAACCTTGTTTGTCCTTAAACAATGTCAAGTATCAAGAACATGGAGAACGGTTTGAAAGTGCGGGAACTCTCCTATTCTCAGCAACCACACTTTAACCAAAAATCTCTAAACTATACAAGTAGTAAAACTATGACAGCACACCCTTACCGAAATATAGCTAACCGCTGTTCAATATCAGCTCCATACTCTATATCTTAGACCTACAAAAGTTACACTTTCCATACAGAACTCCTTACATTCAATTAAGAGTGACACGAGCTTCTCATCACAGACATTATTCAGGGTAGACGATGCTAAGTGTGAAACAGGCCATTTAAGTGTTTAGGGGTTACCATTTCTTTGTATAGGATGCAGGATATCACACAAAATTGCAAGAGAGGATAGATCCATTGATGTCCACAGCCTCTACTCGTTTTTGTCTGCTCTCTCTCTTGAACAATTGCTTTGATCATCCGCATGTTCTTCGTTCTTTCAACTCGCAACTCACAGTTTTACTCGAACTTCCAGTGGTTCATGTTTCTTCAAATTCTTCCCCTCCTCCATCGCCTTATTATCGTTTTTTATTAGAAGATATGGTGATGTGATGAAGAAGGAGGTAAGACATGAGGTGCCATTGGTGTTCTGATTTTGCAATCATTTTGGTTCTCCACCCCGCTCTCATGTGGTTCAATGGTTATGAAGCAGTTGCTCCCCTTAATAAACTTGCCTTCTCTCTTCGAGTGGTCTGATTTTCTGCTACATGAGGCGTGTAGTATGGAAAATCTGGTGGGGACAGCCTTGTAAAAAACCTTCTCTTTGAAGCTGGAGAAAGAGACTCTCTTATTAGGCAGGTCAATGATTTCCCCCACTGTAGCCATAAATGACTTTCATCAAAGGCATCTTATAATCTCTACTCATCTTAACAACCTGAAATTCAGAAGATAGTTCCCAACTTGGACATGAATGTTGCCAATGGTGCTATAAGGAACTGCTGTGAAAGAGTTTGAAAATGCTAGTTTCTCAATATCCACAATTCTCAACTTGTCTACAATTGCTCTTGAGGCAAGGTCACACTAGAACCGAAGTCACAAAGAGCTTCTTTGGATTCTACTCCAGAAATGGAACATGGAAAATCAAACTTTCCAGGGCCATCAACCTTAGGTAATACCTTCAGTGATGGTGACAATGCTTCAATAAAGAGTGCCTTAATTTCCTCTCAAGTTTCTATGCAATTTTTGAAGAACATATGCAATGACTGAATCTCCGAAGCATGTTCAAATGAGATTTTTTGAGGAAGTCTTCTCACCATCTTCCTAAACCCAGCCAGTTGCTCTGCACTAATGAGATCCATCAGATGTTTAGGTGGAATTTGATAGGGAACTTTAGGAACATATATTCGAATTGGCGGAGTCTCTGCAGGTTTGTCAGGAGCAGTCACTTCAGAGCTAGCATGTTGCTCTGTTTTTTCTATGCCAACAGCAGTCTCAATAGACAGTTGCTCCATTTCTTTTCCATCAGCTTTACATCTCATCTCTATTACGTTACAGTGCTCAGCCCTCAGATTTTTATCAGTTTTTCCAGGAAGCATCCCTTGATGTTTCTTGACACTCTCAGCTGTTTGAGCAAGCTGAATACCAATCTTATTTATGTAGTTGGTCACGGTATCATACTTTGTATTCATCTCAGTGAAAATGTTGTCCATCCTGGTGTTGATGTCTGTATTAATCTAAATCAATGCATT